AGGCTTATATTCAGTCTTGTTGGGGTTTATTCGACAGTCTGTATTTGCGTCTAATTGGATGCTGAAAGAAGTAGAAAACGCATATAACTCCCTGTTTTCGCTGCCAACCGAAACCTGCAGTTATTTGCTGTCGGCAATTCTCTCGGCGTGTTTTTTTTTCTTTTTTTTCTGCTCCATTGAAACAGAAGACATTTCATGTTTTTCTTCTTCCATGAATTTTAATTTCAAAATGGGCTTCCTGTGTTTTCGACAACCCGGAGAATGTCGTTTTAATGCAGGCTGAGGCCAAAATCAGACTGGAGGTCTTCTGACGGTCGGCCCCCCGTGTCAAAGTTACAATGGCGGTGATTGCGCCCCTTGTTTCTCAAACGCAGGGTAACAGTAATAGCCATCTGAAGATGTATGGTCATAAAGGGCATTCTGCTGTGAAATTACATGCTTTTCTTTCTTCTTTAAGGAAATTGTTCATGCAAATATGACAACTGATTCCATAAAGGGCTATTAGGGTTGGCATGGCAACGGCATTTGTAAACCAAGGGCCATTAACACTCTCCAGATTACAACGTCACGCCCTCTCTGGCGTCGCAAGAACTGATTCATAGGCAGACGGGGTAAACAACAGAACTGTGAAAGAGAGACTAAATTTCCTTGTTTTTTCGTTTTTTTCATTCAGCTTTGCCCGGAAGTGAAGCCGAGACCTCAGAGGTTACTCGGAATCGGGTATGCTTTCCAATGGCTGTTCCCACCGAGTTTGTGTATGGGGCTGGGGGATAAAAGAATAGTTTTACATAATTAAGCAGATAGTAGCGATCACAGGAGCTTAGCCGCAGAGCACTGAACTCCACGCACTTGGGCTCATTATGAAGTTAAATACTCCAAACTGTCACTGATGGTTTAATTACAGCCCTGCTACGGAACAATCGCTTCAAACCCGTCGGCGCAATCCGCAAACCTGCCCCGAAACGCACAGCGTCGGCCCGGAAAGAAGCCGAATTTCCCTCTTTTACACCCCAGAGATGAAGGGAGAGTAATTAAACAGGCATTATGATGCACTTCCCCTGCTGCTCTCTGAAGGAGGAATTCCTCCTCTCTCACTTTCAGCTGTTCTGCAGACTCGGGGAGTAATGCCACACTTAAGGCCGTTACATAATCTGGATGCAGGGTAAACTGTGACACTTTTCACATAGGCGGTAAGAAACAAGATGGTAAAATAATTGGTCACGCTTTGATTTAAAGGTGCATTGCGCAACATTTCATGTTTAAAATACCTGTTTTTCTAACCCATACATGCTTAAACAATTGCCTGATGGGCTGAATGAGCCCTTCTCTGATCACTGCGATTGCCTCTATAATCCTGTACAGTAAAATAAATTAGAGGGATTCGGAATGGAATTTGAGACTGGGCGTGACGTCATGCGCGTTCACGATCGCCTGGTTATGTCTGGCAGGTTTGTGTATTCGCCGCCATTCTCCGTATCAGCGAACTCGAGCGACACAACTTTAGTCAACTTCCCACAAAAGTAGAAGATGGATTCAAAGAGACCGGCTTGTAGTTCATTCCAAACCCCAACGCAAACTCCACGTAGGACAAAGAAAATGAAACGTTTGTCTAGTGCCAGGCGTCGGAATAAGACGAGAGTCGACATCGGGAAGCTTTCAACAAATGGAGAGATCTCCGGTCTGCTCTAGGGCTCAAATGGGTCCTATAGAAAGTAATAACTTACATTGTTCATGAACGTGTTTCCATAATGATACAATCGTAAGTGGACACTGTAAGCACATAAAACAGTTCAACGTGCCTTTCCTTTCGTATATTTAAAATGACTTGCAGATTTATAACTTTATTACCTCTGAAGACATTATGACTGTAACAAAAGATTTGTGCGGCTGATGCTCCTTTGATTATGAACAGCTCGTGCAAACGTGAGTGTGCATACCTCTGGTTGCAGTTTCACTTGTCGCCAGAGGGGGCGTAGTTCTGCAAAGACATGGATACTTGCGCAATGCACCTTGAATGTGGAGTCGTTACAGTGCAATTTAAAAATCACGCAGTGTTGGGGGTAACGCATTACAAGTTACAAGTTTTGTAATCAGATGTCATTTTTTCAATTTAAGTAACAAGATACTTTGTTTTACTATTTCTTGACTGACAGCTCTCTTGTCCCCATATTGAGAGACATCAGGAGTGTAAGCTGAAGTGTTGTGTGTGAACATGATGCTTATTGCAGTTCTAGACTAATGTGAGCATTACTCATATTATTACGCAAAAACAGATTCAGTACTCATGATAAATAAAAAAGTGAAATGCAAACTCGTAATATTAAGCAAACAAACCTATAATAATTACGTTTTATAACACAAATATACTTTATGCTTTTAATCTCACTTTATGAGCCAATGTCTTTGCTGTTTTCCTTTGGGTGATCTGATTTAACCATACGAATAAGCAAAAATGACTTCAGATTTACATCACATTTGGGCTTCATTTTGTGTTTTTACTGTTGAAGTTTGAAACTTACTTCCCCAGCGTCCTATTCTTCTATAATCAATGGCAGCACAGCTGAAAGGTTTGTGTACTGTACAGGAGTGAAATAGCATTTCCTTCAGCCTGAGGCTTATTCACTTCACTTATAGTGTCAAAGGGCCTTTACATTTGCCAAAAATAGAACTTTTATTTTGCTTCATTAAAAAAAAGTAACGCAAAACTAATGTAACACATTACTTTCCATTAAAAGTAACTCAAATAGTTACTTTTTTGGTAGTTACAATATTGTAACACATTACTTATATAAGTAACTTTCCCCAACACTGCAAATAAATAGTGATTAATGTCAAAGTTGCAATAAGCGATTTAAAGGGGCACTTGGCAACTTTAGTTATTTCTTAGCTGATTTCCACTTTTGTTGTCGCATGTGTTCTCATCAGCGCCCCCTACAGCTGTACGGCGTATATTTCACAACACCGTCATAAAGAAACTCATTTGCGGCGCTTTCCTCCCGCTTTCATGTGCTTCTGTTATTATCGGAGCCAGCCAACTCTATCAGAAGCTGTGTCTACCATACACTGTAAAAAATATGGACGACGCCCCTTCGCTCTTTTGAACTGAAGCCGCCAATGTACCGATATGGAGTCTGCGCACTTTCACTTTCGGGACCAGACATTCGCAGTCGTGAGCAGGAAGTAAAGCCACGAAATATAGGCTCCGCCCTCACTCTCGCTGAATCAATCGCAAGCACACGCCCCGCACTTTTCTTAAGTGGCCTCTCTCTGCTCCGTTCCTCGCCAATGGTGTCTGCTGATTGCAATACCTCGTTAAAATAAGGTAAATACAACTGCTAACCACATAGTCAACATTATGACAACATTAAGTCTGTTGGTGCTTCAGTGACTACTTCGCACAGAGATCCTGTCAATCATGATGTCACAGCACTGTTTATAGAGCATCAAATAACTAAAAACAAACATCAACGTGATAGAAACTACAGTAAATGACAAATTAATTTAATTAATTGTAATTTAATTGTTTAGTTGGTCTCACGTCCCATTGAATAACATGGGGAGGCGGGGTTTATGTCCTATACTAGAACCGGCCACTGGAGGGCGATCGAGACGTTTTGGCTTCGCTTTTGAGGGCTTGTGCAGCACGCTTGGTGTCTACCGACCCGAATGGGTAATACATCATACACAGTATCTTAGAATTATGTCGAATTGCCATAAAGCAGTTTGTGTTTCTCGCTTGTTCTCACTCGTTCTCGCTTCTCACAAGACTTCTATTTCCAACTTACCAGGACGTTAGTCCCCATGTTGCAAGGTTGGTTTTCCACCTGGGGACGCTGGGGGGAGTGGGGGAAGCCACCATTCTCTCCAGAACTGGTTATTGAACCATTAAAATAGTTTTTAAACGGTTTTATTAAGTTGAAATAGTTGCCAACTGCCCCTTTAAGAGAAACACTGTTGATATTTGTAACCGACACCCAAACTCCCTCCATTGCTCCACCCCCCAAATAACAAACAGGCTATGCAAGACAGGCAACGACTAACAGCTGCTGAATTAGACAGCAATTAATCAGCTGTGATTCTACAACATACTGTATAACAGCATATAACCAATGTAACTCATGTATCGAGCAGAAACAAAGCAAACTTCATGTTTTCAGCCTTCCCACTTTTGAACGTCTCTCCAGCATTAAGAGACTTAATCGTAACCTTTCCTTTTTTTAGTATTTAGTATTTTTTAGAAATCTCTCTTTCAACAGTCTTTCAACAAATGTCCCGCTTGCTCACTCTTTCTCTTCCACCATCATGAGTCTATATGGCCCTGTTGCTGATTGGCTACAAGAGAGTTGTTCAGTCCAATCCACTTTGTTTTTTACCTTCCTATTTACACAGCTTAGACTGTGTCCAAACACAATTTTTTCAACACACAGAGAACAGAACAGAAACGGCGTTTCTCAGAAATCAGGGCATCAAAATAAAGAGTTAGCAGATATTGAGCACACAATCTACTAATAATGAGAGTTAAATGATATATAGTTGCAAAGTTACTTATAGTTAGTAGAAAGTCTAAAGTGGACCACCGAATATTTAAATATGATTTTAATATTTGGAAAATGCGTAACACTTTACTTGAAGGGGTGTTCATAAGACTGACATGACACCTTCATAACCATGACATGACATATGTCTTGAAAATGAAGTAGGGTTTATGCATTTTTACTGTCTTTCACTCAACAGTGACATTTTGAATGCAAATATTATGTCTTTGTTATGACATCTTGATATTAAATTAAGTTAAACTGTCATGTGGTTGGGTTTGATATTGGCTGTCATGAGGCCATTATAACTGTACACAACAACTTCTCGAGTTAATCACTTTATCCCTGTAGTTCTCTAATTGAATACGTTTGAATAGGCTATGTACATTCATAAATGTAATGCACTTGCAATCATTCTCACTTCTGTTTTTCTTTTTTTATTCTATCTTCCTCTCTATATTTAAGAGTGAATCCTCAACAGTCACCTCTGGCCACAACGCTCTGATTGAACCCGTGGCTCTGGCATCATCTTTCTCGTTCTCGCTCATCCTATCTTTCTCTCAGCGGCCCTGCAGGTATCAGTGTGAAGAATGAAGCGTCAGCAAATCTCAGTGCTTGTTGTCTGAAGACCAGTGCTGTCTGTTATTCCCTCTGGCATTACTGAACCAGTGCAGCTGGACACAGACCAGGCGGGATGTGGATGCGAGCGATCAACATGCGATGCACCGCTAAAATCATTACATCTCTCACTCCCAAAGAGACACCAAAAGGTTTTAATACACAACCCACCTCCCCTCCCCTTAAGGGCTTCATTAGATAAAAGGAAAACAGCTCTTTTTCAGCGCTGCAGTGCAATTATTCAGTGTAGTCAAGCATGTCTGGGTGTGACAAAGCAATTTGCCTTTTCAGTTTGCTGTTCCTGATACAGATACGAGTTCGAGAAATCAGCGAGAGGAAGAGAAAGAGGGAAAGAGCGAGCGCATCGGTTCAGTGCCCTCAGTGCAGCGGGCTATCAGCTGTTATTTACCTTGCGAATGGAGCGCTGTGTGGTTCTGTGACTGCTGATCAACCTTCTGCTCACCAGTGGAGGACATCAAGGCTGCCTCTCTTTGAATCAAGGTTAGTTTTAAAGCTCAGAGCAGCAGGAGGCTGTAAGTGCAGGAGAATTATTCGTGAGCGTTCATGACCACTGACTTCATATTTATCTTCTCTTACCTCCTGCACTCTTCCTGGGAAATCGATAGTGAGATGGAGGACCACAGGACTCATTTCCACTCACACTGTCCCTCTGTCATCATGTGCCAGCAGAAGGCATCAACCGACACTCAAAGATAGACCCTGCAAAAGAAGATTTGAAGCCTAATTAATTTTTGGCATGTTTTAGCTTACCTCAAGGGCATCCAAGACGTAGGTGTCTTTGTTTCCACTGTAGTTTCAATTTTGATATTTTTAGGTCAAACCGTTCATATAATGGAGGTCTATGGTCACCACCTCAAAGAGCATGCACAGAGAAGTCCAAATTAAACATGATTTAATGACTCGTAAATGTAAGTACACATTGATGGCCTAAGACACGAAACGAGCGGTTTGCGTGAGAAAACGAACAGTATTTATATCGTTTTTACCTCGTTACCATGCTCTTTGAGGTGGTGACCATAGACCTCCATTATATGACTGACAGACAAGAACGGTTTGACCTAAAAATATCAAAATTGAAACTACTGCGGAAACAAAGACACCTACATCTTGGATGCCCTTGAGGTAAGCTAAAACATACCAAAAAATAATTTCAAAGTGACCTACCACTTTAATGTTGGTTTATTGCAATCTTCATACGTTTTTAACATTTCAAAGAAATGAGCAAAAGCATACATAGAAAATGTTCATTGATTCATGTAGTAAATAATGTAAAATGGATTAAACCTTCACTCTAAAAATGGCTGGGTTAAAAACAACCCAATTGGCAAACCCAGTGTTGGGTTAAAGTAACCAAGAAGACTGATTCAATGGCTCAAATAGCCAATTTTATTAAAAATGCTTTTGAAAGTAGTCTCTTCTGCTCATCAAGCCCGCATTTATTTGATAAAAAAGTAATATTGTGAAATATCTTTTAAATTTAAAATAGGGCTGTCAAACGATTAATCGTGATTAATCGCATCCAAAATAAAAGTTTGTGTTTACATAATATATGTGGGTGCACCGTGTATAATTATTTTATATATATAAATACACACACATGCATGTATATTTAAGAAATATTTTCATGTATAGATTTATATATAATTTATATTATATATAAATATAAATACTTTATATATAAATTAAAAAAATCTTAAATATACATGCATGTGTGTGTATTTATATACATATATATACAAAATAATTATACACAGTGCACCCACATATATTATGTAAACACAAACTTTTATTTTGGATGCGATTAATCGCGATTAAATGCGATTAATCGTTTGACAGCCCTAATTTAAAATAATTGTTTTATATTGTAACAAATGTAATTTAAGCTGAATTTTCAGCATCATTACTCCAGTCTTCAGTGTCACATGATTTGATTCGATGTTCAAGAAACATTTCTTATGATTATCAATGTTGAAAACATTTGTGCTGATTAATATTTTTGTGGAAACCGATTACAGGATTTTTTCATGAATTGAATGTTCAAAATAACAGCGTTTATTTGAAATAGAAATGTTGCAATACAAATGAATTTACTGTCACTATTGATTAAATTATTAAATTATTAAATTAAAGCATCATCCTTCCCCTAAAGTTTTGACAGCCATTCCACATTCAGAAACTTTCTGAGATAAAACAGCGTCCATAAAATGGTTATTTGTTCCAGATATTGTAACCGACTTGAGTGGCTTTATGCTAAATAGGTGGGTTTTTATTCTCACAGGTAGAATCTGCATCTGAAATGCTGTTGTCATGGAGACTAGTTACTGTCATGTGGACCGTCCGGTGGGGACTGTTGTTGGGATCAATAGGCGATCTGAAGACAGAATGTTTTCTTTCATTCCAGACCGAGTGCCAGCGTGTGGCTCTCTCTACCCCTCAATTGTGATAGAGGAACGAGGAAGAGACCATTTTAGCTCCCACAACGGCTGAACTAGAGGAGGGAAGACATGTGAGTGAGTGAGCTCTCCTGTTTTAGCTAAATTGGCTAAAATTGGTCCCCTTGAAGAGCAAGTCAAAGAGATATGTGAAGGCACTAAAGTGGTTTTTCTTTCTCTTTTTTCTTTTTTGGTGCAGGGCGATCTTCTGCCTATTCCTCAGAGTGATATGTATTCACTGTAGACTGTTTCATAAACCCCTCACGGGAGCTTCAAAAGCCAAGTGATTTATGCCTGTCAGTGTGTGTGTGTACTGTCTTCTGCTGGCTGCATGCGTGTGTGTGTGTGTGTGAGAAAGAAACAGAAGTGTTCCAGTCTGGGGAAGGTACTGACCACTCTAATTATCCTCTATTTTCTTCAAACATGGCGGAGCTTTTGTGCGCCTGTCTCCTGAGATTCGCTCCCCCTTCTCATTTTCTTTGAGATTCAATTCCACTTCATCCCTCTCTGTCTTCTACATATAAAACACCTTCTTCAATTATTCCGCTGACGTTCATATCTGTATTATTTGACGGCCAGGTCCGGTCAAAAGGGCCGCTCGCCTCACTCTTCTGTCATTGACTACAATCAATCGGAGAAAAAAGCCTATATTCTGAGCATCTGTGTGTAACTGAGAGATAGCGAGGGTTAACAGAAGTACAAACTGAAAAAGTAAGAGAGAGAGAAGGAAAAGAGAGAGGGATTAGCCCCTCCCCCCCACCACCACCACCCAAAGTCATTGGGTGGCACCCTGTATAAACGGCCATCTTTACGCACTATGAATCTTGGCGGCTCGTTGTGTCGGGCTGTAGTTCTGAAATAAAACTGAAAGGGTTTGGTTGTTACTAAATCAATATTTAATTTATATATCTAATAAATATTTCAATGTCCCACTGCCATATAACCATTTTATAATTCATGCTCCTTATATTAACAGACAATGATTACCATAAAAATGGTTATATGAGAGAAGGACATCAAGATGAATTTCCCAGCAATGCCAAATTGTTAAAGGGTTGCGTTCTAAAGGTCAACGAGAATTAAAAATATATATTCATTGAATTTAATTGAATTCATTTTGCATTGTAAAAATGAATATGACTGAATATGTTAAATCTAATCAATAAAATTGAGGCAACAGATTACAATCAATATTATTAATTAAATTTAACAAATTAGAATTGAGTAATAACTAACCACATGAATTACTTAAAAGTTAACCATTTGAAATGAGTAGAATTTACACATTTTTGTAAACAAAAATATCAGAAAAACAGACTATCGTCAAAGATGAATTAAGAACTCTTTTTTTTTATTGCCAACACTGAAGACACCTGATGACAACAAGCAGAAGAGTTAACACAGTCTCATCCCAAGACGTCATATAACTGACGTCTTGGGACCATACGTCAACATCCACCTTTTTAGGGTACCCCTAAACGTTGGTTACATAACGATGCCGGGCAGTCATACAACTGACGCTTTACCTTTAACGTCGGTTAGGTGACAGGGTAGGGTTATGATCCGATAACTTCATCTAATCAATGTTTAAGGGTACCCTAAAAAGGCGGATGTCAAAAGACGTATGGTCAAAAGTTGTCCCAAGACGTCAGTTATGTGATGTCTTGAAAAACGTATTTTTAAGTCACCATTATGGAGATCAGTGTGTGGTTTAGTTGGGCCAATTCTTAATTCAGAATTCTTAATTCTTGAGTTCTTAATTCATCTTTGACGTCAGTCTGTTTTTCCGATATTTTTTGTTCAAAAAATGTGCAAATTCTACTCGTTAACTTTTAAGTAATTCATGTGGTTAGTTATTACTCAATTCTAATTAGTTACATTTAATTAATACTCTTGATTGTAATCTGTTGCCTCAATTTTCTTGATTAGATTTAACATATTCAGTCGTATTCATTTTTACAGTAAATTATAAAATGATGGTTATTGTTTGTTTGTTTGTTTGTATTTATTTATTTTGTTTTACAGTAATGACCATTTTAAATGGGAGTATTTTTTTTTCCCCCAAAGGTTTTACAATTTTTTCCCAAACTCAGTTGTTAAGAAATTAACTAACAAGAAACTCTGATTAACGAACTGGTAAGTAATAGCGCACAGACGAAAGTGGTAGTTCACTATTATTAAGTAATCAATAACTCCTATTTTTTTAATACTTCCCAGAGAACTACTGAAAAAGTTTATTAACAATCTAGTAACTACTATTAACTAAAAGAAACTCTTATTAACGAATTAGTCAGTAATAGCTCACAGATGAAAGTGTTACTAGATACTTCTGTGGGAACTACTAATTATTTGGATCCGTATTATAAAGTGAAGATCATTGGAACTAACTAGTAATTACTCAAGTGTTACTAAAGACATTTTCTAAAAGTATACTAAAGTTCACCACTTTAGTATACTTACTAGTTCGTTAATCAGAGTTTCTTGTTAGTTAATAATAGTTACTAGAGTGTTAATATTGTGTTACTCATTAGTTCTTGTGTAGTTATTCATTAACGAAGGAACCGTATTCTAAAGTGTTACCGAGAAATCTTATTAACATAGAAATGAATTTGGTAATTTGCACAACAGAACCCAAAGTTCTTTAATAAACTGCTCAATAGTCAGGATTCAAACAGATTTACTGAATAGAAAACGCTGTTTGTGTGAATGTTAAACCTTGAGGTCAGAGGCTCGCTCTATTATTTTATATTGCCTATATTTTCCAAAAGAATTGAGAAGCTAGAGTTAATGCTGCATATGGCAAAACACACATCTGTTTACTGTACCCCTAATCTTCTTCTCTACAGCGCAGCTCACGTAAACAGGAGATATGGGCTCCAAAATAAATATGCACACTTATGTGCGATGTGAAAAAGGCCCTAGGGATCAAATTGAGCTGTAATTATGCGTGGATGTCTCAGTCAATAAACCAACAATGGAAAATTTCTGTCAGCGCCGTTCGTGCGAAGACCTCTCTTGGTTGCGTTCTTCATGCCGGAGGTCTGAGTGTGTGTGCTGTTCTCTGACACTCTGAGACGTGTGGGCTTGGGCATGATAATACGAACACTTGAGTCTCAGAGAGCCTTTTTCCAGAGTGAGGGGGAACTGCGACTGCACACTAGACTTGAGGTGAGTAGATGCCAATCGCTGACAATGAAAGTCATCTCATTGCAGGGTCAGTTCAGAGTCAAGGAGCCTGGAGATGCCACAGGTTGGGGAGATGAAGGGATTGCAAACAGATTGTATGTGTGTTGTCCATGGGAGTTTAATGCATTG